TGCGATATTCTTGATGACAGGGTGATGTACGGCATGCGGTTAAGTGAACTGTAAAAAAACTTATGAAAAAGACCAAGGCTGGATATCGTACGAGGGTGTAAGAGGGATTGTAGTTTAGATTTTTCTTTTAGGGCGGATATGCTTACGTCATATGAGTAGGATGAATGAATGAATCTTGCTGCACGATTTTGAAGAGACTCAAGTGCATTGATGAGGTATTTTTGATAAGGGTCCCAGATTGGTGGAGCATATTCAACTTTAGGCCTGATCAGTGTTATGTACGCTAGTAATCTTACGTCGCGTGGGGCATGACGTAAGTGGCGCCTCAAGAAGCCGAGTGATTGGTTCACCGATGACAGAATGCTATTTATATGTGTGCCCCAGTTAAGATCAAATGAAATTAAGACTCCTAGGCACTTGAATGATGGGACTGTTTCAATGAGACTATTGGCTATCATGTAAGGAGAAGTAATGGGGCTGTGACTACGGGTAAATGATATATGTTTGCATTTTTTTGGATTGAGAGTCATAAGCCACCGGGTACACCAAGACTGCACACGGTTAAGATTTTGCTGTAATGTATCTGCGTCAGTAATATTGTTAATGATATGATAAATCACGCAGTCGTCTGTGAACATACGGATTTTACAAGTTACATGAAGGGGTAAGTCATTGATATATATACCAGAAAAAGAAGTGGGCCAAGAACAGACCACTGGGGGACACCTGAAGTAACCGGAAGTGGGACGGAGGACTGATCACTGACGCTGACGAATTGCGAACGGCTGACTAAGAACGCTTCAAGCCATTTTAGTACGTCGGAGTTTAAGTTTAAGAAGGAAAGTTTACGTAACAAGTGTCGGTGAGAAACCTTGTCAAAAGCTTTTTCATAGTCGAGGAAGATAGCGTCAGTTTGTCTGTTGCAGTCAAGATTCATATGAAAGTCATGAATGAAAAGACCTAGCTGTGTTTTACAAGAAAGGCCCTTGCGGAATCCATGTTGTACTGGATGAAAGAAATGATTGGCATCCAAATGGTTCATAATGAGTGAGTAAATGACGTGCTCCATGATTTTACTTGGCAGACTCGTGAGGGAGATGGGGCGATAATTTAGCGAGTGAAGCCTGTTGCCTGCTTTGTAGATGGGAATGACTTTTCCCACTTTCCAGTCGTGAGGAATGCAACCTACTGAAAGCGACTGAGCAAACAGCAGACACAAAAATGACGAGGATATATCTATAGTGTTTCTTAACAGTTTTGAGTTAATACCATCGATACCGGCACAGGACGAAAGTTTTAGGTTATCAATCACATTTGAAATACCATCTATGCTAAACTTAATGGCCGGCATACTGGATACTATGTTGCTAGACAGTAAAGATAGAGGAGCACCAGTATCCTTAGTAAATACTGAGACGAAGGCATTGTTGAAAGTTGTGGCGCAGTCAGTATCAGACATAATGTTCCCCGAATCATCAGCAAGTGTTAAGACGCTAACATGACTTGGGTTTATTACTTGCCAGAATTTCTTTGGGTTTTCTATAAGTATTTTGGGCAAGTCATTATTAAAAAAAGCATGCTTGGCGCCACGAACAGCAGATAGATACATTTTTTCGGCAGAATAATATTTTTCCCAAGCGTTAGCATTCATACCCTGTTTAGCAGCTCGGAAAAGTCTTTTCTTCTTATTTTCTAAACGCTTTAAGTGATTAGTGAACCACGGCATCTGCCGATTCTCACGGAAGATAATTTTCGGTATATGTTTCTCTGCTAATTGAATAATTTTATTTCTAAAGAGCACCCAGTTATCATAAATAGATTGCTCGTGAAATGTTTTCACGAAGTAAGTTCCTACCACCTCTAGAGTTGTACGCTGTAAAAATCGATTTAGGTACCCGAAAAACCCATGGATGACCAATGTTTTCTAAAGAGCTTGAGGAAAAAAGATAATTTGTATAAGAAAATCAAAATACAGCCATTCAATAGTTCTGTGCTTAATAGGTACAAGAGGTATTGTAAAACCAGGAAGCGAAAAGGCAATACTACGAAGCAGAATTTGTGCGAAATAAAGGTAACCCTAAAAAGCAATGGAAATTGCTGAATGAATTCATGAACCATAACTCGCCACTGGTTATATCTACAATTGAACACAACAGCATTACTTTAAGCCAGCCTGCTGAGATTGCTAGCACGTTTTCCAATCATTTCGCATTATCTCACGGCAGTCAGCCATCAAATTTTCAACCTAAGATCGTCTGTGTCATTCATTTTATCTTTTTCCAGTCGCGCCAAGTGCGGTGCTATCCACTATCTGCAACACTAGCCCTGGATTAGATGGTACTTCAATACGCCACTTAAAACTAGTTGCTGACATTGTTTGCGAACCACTATGTGCAATAATTATTTTAATTTTCAAAACTGGTGAATTTTCACAAGTATTAAAACATGCTAAGGTAATCCCACTTTTTAAGAAACGTAACAAAGAGCTGCTCTCTAACTACCGTCCCATTTCTATTCTCCCCTCCCTAAGTAAAATAATTGAAAAGTTATTTGTGTTCAGAATAACTAAGTACTTAGATAAATTCCACATAATCAAATCTTGCCAGTTCGGTTTTCGGGCCGGAAGTTCTACTAATTTAGCCGTACTTTAACAGATTTTATTAAGAATAGTCTTGATGGGAACGAATTCGTCAGTTCCGTCTTCCTCGACCTTACTAAAGCCTTTGACACCATTAATCACACAATTTTGTATCATAAGCTAGAAGCCTATGGGATCACAGACCCTGTTCTAACGTTTTTAAAGCATTATCTAACTGGACGAGAGTTTGTGGTATACGCGCGTGAAACATTTTCTCTTCGTAAAATTACTAAACAAGGAGTGCCACAAGGTTCAATTTTGGGACCTTTGATTTTTTCTCTTTATATTAATGACTTGCAGGACGTCACGGACTTATGCCACAATGTATTGTACACAGACAATACAACTATATCAGTACATGATAAATAGAGTTCATTACTAAATTAGCTAAATATGACACTTGACCACCCAATTAAATGGTGTAACAATAACAAACTACTTATCAATCTAAAACTAAATTTCTGGCTTTCCATCCGCATAAACTTTCTTTCCTTATCATTAGAAAATCATTTTATTCCCATGAATGACTCTGCAGTATTTCTAGGTGTGACATTGGACAGCCATCTGAAGTTTCACCTTCACATCAATCATATTAAAAAAAGTCGGTCTTTGGTATCCGTGCTCTTATCAAGGCACGTCAGTATTTTTCACCTCCTGCATTGCTTTCACTATACTTTGCATTTATTCATTCGCATATTAACTATGGCATAATCGCTTGGGGTAACATCTATCATTGTTATCTTCCTTCCATCTAACATATACAAAATCAAGCCATATGCATCATAACTTACAGTTGTTCGCATTCAAATGCCTTTAGCTTTCTTAATGAGCACAAAATTTTACCTGTTAACAAGTTCTTTCAATATAACATAAGTATAATATTTTATAAGTTATTTAATTCCCAAATCTCCTTTGAATATATTGAATGTAGCTCGCTCAAGAAAACTAATCCCACCAGGTTCGTTTCTAAACATAATTACTCGCTACCACACGTTTGCACTAACTACGCTAAAAAAACATCTAAATTCTCTACCATTCATCTATAGAATAGTTTGCCGTTTGAACTTAAATCTTTGCCCGCATTTTCCCTTTTCAAAACATGAATAAAATATTTCCTTTTAACTCCTGATTGCTCACCTTAGTTATGGTGTATAATTTTTTTCCACTTGTCTCGATTTATTTCTGTTTCCCGTGTAAAATTTTCATTTCCTCTTTCAATTTTTGTGAATTTTTTCTATTTTTATTTCATATTACTTCTGTGTGTCATATTTGACTATCCATTGCATTGCTTTTTTATATCATTTTCCCATTGTGACTTTCATTTTATTGTATTATTTCATTTTTTTTAACTATTACATGTTGCTGCTTGTTATGTCTTGTAAGAGTTTCTTATTACCACCTGCTAATCTTCTGCCAATTGCTTTCAATTCACTTTTGCTGTCGCTTTTAACTGAGGGTCCCATTTTCAGTATTTATACTCTGGGACCCTCATCTGTATACAAGTGTTATGTAATCGATGCTTTGTAACTGATAAAAAACTGAAACTGAAAAAAATGGTGTAACTTTATACCCTCCCAGTGGCATTTTTTGAGAGCACGTAAAATTTTATGTGAATACTTGCAGCCGTTTCTAAGATATTACGCTAAAACTCACATAAACCATTTACCCTACCATACCCCATTATACCAGGGAAAGTACAGAGGATGTTATTTGTAGTCTTAATTGTATTGTGATTATGACACAAGTGTGAACAACGTAAATTGGATGAAAAGACAACTTGCTGCTAGCGGCGAACGAACCTGCAACCTTTCGGTAACACATCCGATACTGTACCGAGCTACAGCAAGAATCATCTTCCCAACCATTTTATCAGGTACTTATGTAGTGCATGTTAACATGTTGCCACCTGCGGCAATGAAAGCAAGTATGACTCTGTCTTTTAACAAGCTAGTAGCTGACCAATATGCCCTTGCCTGAGGACATCAAGTCTGCTGGAATTGGCTATGAATGATGAAGAGAATCTAAAAGCTCGTTTATCTCTGTCCGATGCAACCTTAACGAAAAAGCAATAAAGTCAGCTGTACGATAAGAAAAGGCACCCTTTTTTGTCTATTCATTGCTTGAGCAGATTATGTCTTGAGGTAATATGCAAGAGTTCATTGGTGAGCAACCAGCTCATTAAAATATCATGCCGCACATAATCTTTTAACGAGCTGGCAGGTGGCTACCATGTGCCAACCATCATCGCAGAACCCACAGACAACAGGACAAAAAAACATGCAGGTCACAGCGCTGCTGTCCTGCGTGTTCTGGACACAGCAAACTGTCATCCAACCAAACTAAAGTGGGTCTATCTTGGGAATTGTTGTAATGGTGAAAATGACGTTTAATTTCATTGAAGTTGCTGTTTCACATACATCATACATGTGTGGCATGACTGAGGTAAGGAGGCACACGGACATTCAAAATTTCACACTTGTCGGCGCACCACATTACAGGGTCGCGACAGAATTTTGCCTGTGAATGCAGTCACAAACATGTATTGCGTGGGATGTGCATTCTTGCAGCAGATCACGTAAGCATGCCAATCATTCATGACGGTTTCTTTCTCCATCGGCTGGCTTGTATGCGCTGGGGGAGGAAACCACTTGCTGCTGCACACGGGTGTTAGACTGTCCATTTCAGGCAGCGGGTGTCACGGTGCACACCGAGGCACTTGACCGAACAGTACCTCGACCCGCAGGAAACGCAGGTGTAGTTTGACTGAAAGCCGCAAACGGCACAGAAGTGCCGCGGTGGCAACTTTGACGGCGGTACATTCGCATGACTGTAATTTGGCGGCTCCGGATTGCTCGTTTGATGCTCTTCCAAGAGGGCATATAAATTCCTTTTAAAGCGCGCCTTAAAGGGCTCACCTTTGCTTCTGCGTTTGCGCTTGGCTTCCAAAGTTTCTTCGAACTTGGGTGCCTTTTTATGCATCACCAGATTGGCATGGGGGTCGTCGTGGAAGTTGTCGTGTTCCAGATTGTCCACAGCTTTCCTCTGACGGCGCATCCGAGCAGCAGGGTCGAGCACACGGCGCATCTCTTTTACTCGGCCCGACTCGCGTTTCTCCGCCGCACAGTTGAACTGGTAGAAAGATCCACTTGATTTATTCGACCGTCCTTCCTCGAACAGTTTCCGCTTGGCCATTGCGTGGTACAAACACCCTTTAGTGCGGCCACGGGCTGCCGAATTCACAGCTTTCGAGAGCTGAGTCAGAGAACACCAACTACTTGCCAAAGAACTTGGGCTGCCTTGGTACAAACACCCCTTAGGGCGGCCACGGGCTGCCGAATTCACAGCGTTCGAGAGCTGAGTCAGAAAAACACCAACTGCTTGCAGAAGAACTTGGGCTGCCTTGGCCACTGTTAGGGTAGCTAGAATTGGCAGGTGTGAAAACCGACCGCTTCAAGGTGGCTCTCACTCAGGAGCCTGCTGCGGTGGCGCTGTAGTCGGAGGCGCGGTTTCGTCAAATAAGGAAAACTCATTGAACAGGCACTACCAGCATTGATGTACGCAGATGATATAGTACTAATGGCCGACAACAAGAAAGATTTGCAGAGATTGGTGGACATCTGCGGTAATGAGGGAGTCATGATTTTTAATGACAATGAAGGTAGTGAGCTTAGAATACAGGAGGTCACGCTAGTGATAACAAATAAATACAAATATCTGGGCGTATGGATAAGCAATGGGGCCGAGTACCTAAGGGAACACGAAACATACGTGACGACTAAAGGTAACAGGAATGCAGCGGTAATGAAAACAGGGCACTGTGGAATTACAATAGGTATGATGTGAGAGGAATATGGAAAGGGGTCATGGTTCCTGGTCTGACGTTCGGCAATGGGGTCTTGTGCATGGGATCAGAAGTTCAAGCAAGATTAGAAATTAAGCAACGTGGAATAGGTAGGCTTGCCTTAGGAGCTCACGGGAATACACCAAATCAGGGAGTACAAGGTGATATGGGATGGACATCATTTGAGGGCAGGGAAGCTAGCAGCAAGATAAAATTTGAGAAGCGATTGAGAGAAATGGGTGAGGAGCATTGGGTTAGGAAGGTATTCAGCTACTTGTACATGAAGAATGTCAATACAAAATGGTGGAAGCGAACCAGAAAATTGACTGGTAAATACTTGGAAAACAGCAGGGGGCCAATAAACCAAAAAGAATTATCGGTTAAGAAGAAGGTGAAGGAAGCTGAGACCGATATGTGGAGAATTGGCATGATTAAGAAGTCCGCACTAGAGATCAATCAAACTTTTAAGCAGGAGATTATTGCCAAGGAAAAGATCTATAGATGATAATACTCGGTGTAGTTCTCTGCTGTTTGAGGCCAGGACGGGAGTATTGCGAACCAAGGCATATCGGACCAATTACGAAGGGGTAGACACGGTATGCAGTGCGTGTGGAGAGGAAGAAGAAACTGCCGAACACTTGATAATGTTCTATAAAGGGATTCACCCTATAGTTCAGTATGATGGCGCAGAGTTCTTCAAAGCACTGGGGTTTAGGGACAGGGAGGGCAAAATAGACTTTAAGCGGGTAGAATTAACTAGAAGAGGTTATCTGATTGGTGGCTAAAGTCAAGACATGAGTGAAAGTTAAACCCTTCAGCTAGTGCAAAATACGAATCCTCAACCTCACTATTCAAATGAAATTTATGTAGCGCGAGGTGAAAAAACGAACACAGAAAAGAATAGACTGAGAAGACAGAGTGCTACTAGCAACAACATGTTTATTTTTTACCTCCAAGCCGCTTTTAAGCCATAATCGTCAGGCGAGCAAGCAGATAAGCACGTGTAATTCAGATAGATGCACGATAATGTCATCTACCTACAAGAAAAAACGATAAACAGGTCAACAAAAGCCCACATTGCCAACAAGCCCACATTGCCACTCTTGTCACTATTTAAAGGGGAAAAAAAATAAATCTAGTTTTTGGTTCTTTAAGTATTACGGCGCTTGGTGGCACTAGCCACCGCCCAATCTAAAGGGTACAGCCATATCCATCCATTCATCCATCCATCGGTTGGTGGGATGAGGCACAGAGTGGATGAGGAAGTTAAGAGAGCCATAGCAAAACGTCAGGAAGCCTCTAGGGAACACAGACATGCTAAGCAGCGGTGTGAACCGACAGATGATGTTGAAAGAAAATGGGAAATCTTTTTAAGCTGTAGAAGAGATGCATCCCTTCTGATCAATGAAAAGATTAGAAGAAAGGGAGCTCAGTGGCTGGCAGAAGTACATAAAAAAGATAGAAAGGCAGCTGCAAAATTTTGGACCATCTAAACTCTCCTTGGTTTCGTGTACTTGTGGATGGGAGCAAAGGCCAGAGAGGAAAACCAGGCAATGGTAGAGTGTATATCAAATGACATTCAGGAGTTAGGAGGAGCGTGCGAGATAATTATACTAGGAGATATGAATGCGCACATAGAAGACATAGATGGGTATACCGACCCGACAGGCAAAATGATCATGGATATGTGTGAAAGGCTTGATTTAATCATTTGCAACAGTACCGAGAAGTGTGAAGGGCAAATAACATGGGAGGTAGGAAGGCTGCAGTCGACGATAGATTACGCACTGATGTCACATAGGATGTATGATAAGCTCAGGGAAATGCACATAGATGAAAGTGGCTCCAGAAGTCTGGGTAGTGATCACAAACGTATCAAGCTAAGTTTTGGAAGAGCAGTGAAAGTGGGAAGGAGACAAGATGAGCAACTACAGGAAAATTTTTATTGGGAAAGGCAAATTGAAATAGCCACTAAACGAATTGAGAAAGTAATCACTGAGGATAATAAAACAGTGTGGACATACACGAATCCAATTAGACTGTTTGAGCTAGAGCTTGCGAAGGCACGTGAAGGGTCACCGCGGAAAAGAAGACACAAACCCAAAAGTTGGTGGGATGGGGAAGTTAAGAGAGCCATAGCAAAACGTCAGGAAGCCTCTAGGGAACACAGACATGCTAAGCAGCGGGGTAAACCGACAGATGATGTTGAAAGAAAATGGGAAATCTTTCTAAGCTGTAGAAGGGATGCATTCTTTCTGATCAATGAAAAGATTAGAAGAAAGGGAGCTCAGTGGCTGGCAGAAGCCCATAAAAAAGATAGAAACGCAGCTGCAAAATTTTGGAACCATATAAACTCTCTAAGAAATGAGACGAGCCTAGAGCAAAGGTTTATAACTACAGCTCAAGGTGCTAGGCTAGAAGGGGACGAAGCTATTGAATATATAAGAACAAGGGTGACAGGAAAATTTCAACAAAGTGCTGCATGCACCACAATAGACAAGAATGAATCGAGTGGTGCAATGGCTCCATTTTCACAACAAGAGTGGGAAAGGGCTCATGAAAGGGTTCCTAGTAGTACATCAACAGGCCCAGATGGCATTCCAATTATGCTGATAAAGGCATTAGGTCCGAAGTTTGAGCAGGCTTTGAGAGAGGCAGTGAGCAAAATAATAATCGATGGAGAAGTTCCCGATGGATGGAAACTTGGCAGGATGAGCATGATCTATAAAGAAAAGGGGGACAAAGCTGACATAAACAACTACCGTCCTATAACAGTGACATCAGTGGTCTACATGCTGGCGATGCAGATTATAAAGAAAAGACTGCAGGCATGGATAGAGGATGAGGGGGTGCGGGGGGAACTGCAGAATGGGTTTCGGAAACACAGGAGGTTGGAAGACAATCTGTTTTCACTGACGCAGTGCATCTAAATAGCAGAAAAGGAACACAGGCCCCTGTGGCTAGCATTTTTGGATATCAAGTGAGTGTATGATAGCGTGGTTCAAGAGGAATTGTGGGGAATACTGGACACACTAGGCGTGGAAGATGTAGTCACTAATCTTTTAAAGGATATCTATAAAGGTAACAAGGTAGTTATAAAGTGGGGAAAACAGGTATCCAAGCTTGCAGAGGTAAAACGAGGGTTTAGGCAGGGGTGTCCCCTGTCACCCTTATTATTCATGATGTACCTACAAGGATTACAGGCCAAATTAGAGGGAAGTGGACTGGGCTTCAACCTCTCTTTCGTCAAACAAGGAAAACTCATTGAACAGGCACTACCAGCATTGATGTACGCAGATGATATAGTACGTGCTAATGGCCGACAACAAGGAAGATTTGCAGAGATTGGTGGACATCTGCGGTAATGAGGGAGATAGGTTAGATTTCAGATTAAGTAAGGAAAAATCAGCAGTCATGATTTTTAACAATGAAGGTAGTGAGCTTAGAATACATAAGGTCATGCTAGAGATAACAAATAAATACAAATATCTGGGCGTATGGATAAGCAATGGGGACGAGTACCTAAGGGAACACGAAACATACGTGACGACTAAAGGTAACAGGAATGCAGCGGTAATGAAAAACAGGGCACTGTGGAATTACAATAGGTATGATGTGAGAGTAATATGGAAAGGGGTCATGGTTCCTGGTCTGACGTTCGGCAATGGGGTCTTGTGCATGAGATCAGAAGTTCAAGCAAGATTAGAAATTAGGCAACGTGGAATAGGTAGGCTTGCCTTAGGAGCTCACGGGAATACACCAAATCAGGGAGTACAAGGTGATATGGGATGGACATCATTTGAGGGCAGGGAAGCTAGCAGCAAGATAAAATTTGAGAAGCGATTGAGAGAAATGGGTGAGGAGCGTTGGGCTAGGAAGGTATTCAGCTACTTGTACATGAAGAATGTCAATACAAAATGGCGGAAGCGAACCAGAAAAATGACTGGTAAATACTTGGAAAACATCAGGGAGCCAATAAACCAAAAAGAATTATCGGTTAAGAAGAAGGTGAAGGAAGCTGAGACCGATATGTGGAGCATTGGCATGATTAAGAAGTCCGCACTAGAGATCTATCGAACCTTTAAGCAGGAAATTGTCAAGGAAAGGATCTATGATAATACTCGGGGGTAGTTCTCTACTGTTTGAGGCCAGGACGGGAGTATTGCGAACCAAGACATATCGGGCCAGTTACGAAGGGGTAGACACGGTATGCAGTGCGTGTGGAGAGGAAGAAGAAACTGCCGAACACCGATAATGTTCTGTAAAAGGCTTCACCCTTCAGGATGATGGCGCAGAGTTCTTCAAAGCACTGGGGTTTAGGGACAGTGAGGGCAAAATAGACTTTAAGCGGGTAGAATTAACTAGAAGGAGGTTATCTGATTGGTGGCTAAAGTCAAGGCACGTGTGAAAATGAAGCCCTTCTCTGCAAAGTACGAATCCTCAACCTCACTATTTAAAGGAAAAAAAATAAATCTAGTTTTTAATTCTGTAAGTATTACGGCTTGGTGGCGTTTTCTGTAAGACATTGCATTGATACAAGCTTACAGTAACGTTAGTCAGAATCGTCTTGGTGCACTGGAAATTTGCCCTAAAACTTCATGTGGTGGCGTTTTCTGTAAGAC